CGCAGCTGTATTGTGCTGGAGGTTCCTCGCGATGGTGTCGAGGATATCGAGTGGCAGGCCCGACATGTTGTTGCGCAAAATCACAAGGTCATTGATTTCGGGAATGGCTGCGGTCCCGCGTGTATCGTGAGAAAAGACCGTCTGGTCCCGGGAGTCCTTCTCAATTTGTGCATTGTGAGTCCATGGGTAAGTTTTGCTCTGTCCCTTCTCCGATGTTAACCTATTCATTGCGCGGACACACTAGCCAAGGGGGTGCCGGGATCGAAATCCGCTACCCGGGGTCGATTTTTTGGTTCAGCGTGGACTGGTGGACTAACTGACTACGTAATCAGGTACATATCTATATATGGTAATAATGACATCATCGGTCTAGCAGCAGTGGCCAACCCGGTCAGAAACAACTCAACGAATCTGGTGTTCAATTGCCACCACCTTAGTGCGTACCTCCGCCACGTTGATCTACCAAGGTCCTAAGCCAATGAGCCAAAAGGTAACTTGAAGATAACTAAAGCTATGCTTCCCGCTAGTGCAGCGGATATATACGGATTGTGGGTGTTTGGTACCGTACCGACGCTATACTATACTCCTATGGACGATGACGCTCAGTTGGACAGGTAGGCTTAGAGGCGATCCACTCGAAACAATAAGAGCGTCCGACTTGGACGATATACGGCCTTAGGTTGCGCTTTAATTTTTAAAAATCAGGCCACCGTCAGTGTCAGGGCCCGACGTCCACTGGGACTCAGATGAAGAACTAGAAACGTTCACAGTTTCTCTTCGTTGGGCATACGTACAATTCCTTACTGTATACACAAGCCTTCGGCAAGGGTGTCGTCACCAGAGAATTTGTACTCTACTTGCAATGGATATCTACCCTGCCAATGGCCCCTTTTACGGAACTGAGCCAAATATTTATCTTCCATGCCCTTCTTCCATGCCATTTCAAAGGCTGGAGCCAACGCTGGATGTGCGAACATCTCAAGTGTAACAAAGGTAAGTGACCCACATTTCTGGGGTTCTTCAAACCAGCTGCTGATAATTCTCCCCATCGAATCAAAGATACTTTCTGGAATTTTGTAAGGTAGTCCCCTTATGGCCATGACGATGGTAATTTTCATGAGGCCGATAAATGGCCCTGTTGCGAAAAGGTTGTGTAGATCATCCAAGCTGGCAGGAAGGTTACCAGTTTTTAAGGGATCGAGACTGATTGTGAGATGTTCCAGGTACGGTCCTAGTATGTTATTCAAGGAGGGCAGGATTGCCGGGTCCATACCAGGGTAAGCGAGTTTCAGACTTCGAAGATTGAGTCTAGATGGCAGCCATCCAGCTGGAATGTCCAAAACAGCCCATAAGCGCAAGTACTCCAACGTAGGTGACGACCATCGGTTATAGAGCGCCATTTGAAGTTCATATGGCACTTGGCTCCACGCACACTGAAAGCGAATTTCGGCAGAATCTACCATAAAACGAGCCGCCCAGTGAAATGTCTCGAGGTTGATGAGCATATTGATGAGAGCTGGGAGATCTGGATTAACCAAATCCTCGATTGCGCAAGTAACAAAGGTGAGGTTTTTTATGCGTGAAACGACGGCAGGATTCGCGAGCAGGTAGGCGATTCCCTCAAGCGAGTGCGGTGATCCGCTCACAATCATCTCTACTGCCGTGGAGGTGGCTTCAGCACGCATAATGTTATTGTACATATAAGTCTCAGTGGCAGCTGAGTAGGGTCTCCGCGTTGGCTGGGCGGGCCATTGGATAGATGAATAGGTGTGGTGTGCACTGAGATTCGGGTAGTGTGATGCGTCCATGGCTGGGAAAGCAAATGGGATGTGATGATTCGACGGTGAGGATTGATATTACCACCTCCTTATATAGGTTCATTGGAACCCCATAACAGCATTTTCGATAACCCACAGCCCTCGGATCGTGGCAATGCGCCTTGTGGACTATTGTGAGATGACCTTGTAATCGTCTTGGAGACGTCATCATGCGGAACACAAGCAAGGCCTGGACAATGGGCGCCAAGGCATTACCCTCGAGTTGTAGCACCACGGCAAGAGCTTCCATTACTCCGCACATTTCAGAAGGACTGGATAACTAGAAAGTGCTTGATCACAAGCCGAAGCTGTTGCGAAAACAAGGTAAACGAAATGTAATGAATTTAAAAAAAGAAAAGACGCCACCGTCGAGATGTATATATCGGCCACAGCACGACATGCACTCCATTGCCACTCCTTCAATCTATCTTTCGGCGCCACTCCTCCTCCTCCGAATGCTGTAATCATGACTCCGTATGACGGCTATCCTTCACAAAACATCTAAATCACGAACGGACACAATTACTTTCTCGCACCCCCAACGCATAATAACCAACCCTACACACCCTCGGACAACATTACAACCCTCAACTTTCCTTCCTTCTCGAGACGCGGAAGTTTGATTGCCATCACATCCTTCGGTGAATCGATATCAATGGATGCGACATAAAACGAAACCACCTTCAACATCGGGAATGCCTTGGACGACAAGAAACTGTCAAGATCATCCCATCTCTGACGGGCAGCGTCCGGAACCGAAGTGAATCCAAGTCGTCGAGCACTAGCAGGAGCAGTAGGAGCATATTTTGAAGTGATGTAGTTCCAGCTACACCGAATTTCGAGTGATTCGAGTCTGGAAGGTGTCGAGAGGTTTGCGATGAAGGCCGTAGACCATGGTGATAGATCGATTTCGGTAAAATCGTGTGTTGTGTTTAGATAAGTGTAGAGCTCGAATGATTGGAGATGGGTGAATCGTGATAAACGGAAATCGTTCAATAGTTGAAGGCCCATTCCGTTTACTCCGACTATTGATGAAATGTTTAATGTGAATGACGATTCGGATTAGAGTCGTACGAATTGAAAGTGGGAGCTTACCGGTAGGTTGTTTAGGTGCTCTGTAAGTGAGATGTTCCAACGTGGAAGGTATCATTGAGACGAGGCTACAAAACATGGTATGATCCAATTGGGGGTCCGAATGGAAGGTGAGATGCTTCACGTCTCGAAGATCGATAACACATTTAGGATGAATGAGATATTGGAGTAGCTCGTGTTTATCTGGACCCATGGATGATAGTGATAAACTCCGGAGTTGTGAACCAGTGGTGTGTTGCTGGATCAGGAGATAGTAATCGATTGGTTTGGCGAGAGCTCGTTCTCTCCCGCAATAGGAACTTCCAATCGATGAAAAATGTTTTAAGCCGACAATTTCGCTGAGGATTTGAAGTGGGAACGATTTAACATCTTGGAGTGTCAGGGATGTGATATGTTTGGATCCTAGCGTAAGTCGGAGTGCTGTGCATAATTTGGGTGGGAGAGCTCGACGGTGGGAGATCGTAAGACTCTGTAGGAGAGGTAGTTTCATGAAGATGGTGTTGATGGGTCCTCCTGTGAATTGTAATTCAAGGGATCTCACCAGAGATGCGAATGGGGGGTGGGTCTGGATGACGGCAAGGAACTTGTTTGAAGCTACTTCGTTGTTGATATGGACGCCAAAGAATAATGCAGGCTGGAATGCGAGCTTCCATTGATGAGAAACTAAACAAGCGGCTTTTAGTGATGTTGGATTGTGCGGGAGGGAGCTCGCAATAATGGGGAGGATATCGAATGGTAGCGCCGACATGCTGCTGCTGCAATCGCCCGACTTGGTCTTGTGGTGGTGCTGTTGAAGACGTACAGTAGATTCGGCTTTCGCCGACTTGTGCGCTGGAATTAGAACCCCTGCCCGCAGCGTCGACCAGTTGCCTTTTGGACAACAGATAAAATAGAGAGATAAATGCCGCTACCATGTCATGCGCGTGTAACTATAATATAACATTGATGGTTAGGACGGACAAATCCACCTATCAAGTTGAAAAAGAGTGAAGGTCCTACGCCTGGCTGCTGCCAGTGCTGCTGATTGGCTAGCGACTTCTCCGCTGGGCAGAACTGGGCAAAACTTGAAGCGGGTGGTGGTGGTGACGGTGCAAAAGGAGGACTACGTCAGCGTCGTATGGTTCCCTTGACCCCGAACTTCTGAACTTCGAGTCTCACTTCGACTTATACTATGGGACGGTAGCATAACGGCAAATGCACCACAATTACCTTTGTCTTACAATCTCAGTTCAAATCTGAGCCGTTCCATTTACCCTCTCGTATTTTGATATTTTGGTATTTTGGTATTGGACGTCGGCTGAGGTGAAATGGATGGAGGGACAGGTCGTCAACGTGGCTGACGCAGGAGTTCAATGATCAAATTTGCAGTGATTAGGCATTCTTACTGTCCGAACCCAGGAACTCTCCTGCCTTATCAGTGCAAGCCATCAGCGTTCTGATTCCCCTTGACCCCTGTCTAAACTTCTCCCAATCCCTAATATTAAGGCTCACCCCCACTTCGACAAGGGGACGGTAGCATAACGGTAAATGCACTACAACTAGTAACACTTGTCTTACGATCTCAGTTCGAATCTGAGCCGTTCCATCCCGCCAGATTAAAGACGAGATATTTTGTTTTAATTTTTTAATTTAAAAAAATTAATTCATTATGTTTTCGTCTTGCGTCGTGGTTGCCATGCTGGTGAGGAGTTGCTTTTTCTCTTCCAATACCAAAATTCCGAAACAGCAAAAGGACGTGGACGTCGGTCGAGGTGAAATCGATATCGACGCGGGACGAGGGCATCGAGGAGGGTGAATGTCGGACTGCATGGATGATGGGATTATAGATTCCAGTATATGCGTGCGGGTCCAAGTCGGAAGTTGGCTAGAGTATTGTCGATGTCGTTATAAGTAGGAAGAACGAAGGGAAAGGGATTGTAGATCGAATTGGAATAGACCAAGGATAACCAGGGTACATACATACACCAGAATGAGAATTGAGATGGGGATTCAAATAACCCCAGATAGTGGAATTCGACTGACCGACTGAACGAGTAACAATGAACGAAGGGATATGAATGAATGGATAAACCAAAAAAAAAACTACGCATTCAAATTCAAGACACTACCGTAAGTAATAGAGGAACGAAAAGAGGTGATATCGATATGAACATCTAGGAGATACACGGATATTGAAACACACCAACCAGCTAGTCAAGCGTATACTCTGTACAACACATACAACGCCCAACGCCCAACACCCAACACCACTACCCAAATGCCCAACGCCCAACGCCCAGCCCCCATCCCAACCCAGCGTCCCCTCCCAACACCGCCGACCGACCTAACCCAGTCCAACTCCCAACTCCCCTGACGGTTTTGACTTTGCTTTTAATAGCGACTCGGGTTTCATTCTTCTGATGTTCGTGGTTCAGGGGGATGATCTCGACCTGATGACGACGTGCTAGCCTGGTGCTAAAACCCACCCACAACGACGACCCAACGACCACACCGCACAACGACGACCGCACCACACCCAAAAAAAAAGAGACGAATCCATCAGCATCCATCTATCCTTTCCCCACCCAGACTCCGTCATTCAAAAAACGCTCACTACTCACCTGCCTCAACTTCGCCAAATGAATCTTCAACGTCTCCGCATAATTCTCAAACCCCAACGAACTCATCGCATAAAGTATATCCTCCCCTCCAATCGTCTTTCTCTTCTCCAACTGACACTTTTCTGCAGCTTCGGATGTGATGAATGATATGAATTCGGAAACACATTCTTGTACGCATTCTTTTGCGTCTTTTGCTATTTTGGCGGTTGGGGGGACGGAGGATTTCATTATTCGGGAGACGTTTGCTATCTGTGTGAGGGGGTGTTAGTGGGGGTGTGGGTGGAAGGGGGTCATGGTGAGAGGTGGATGGGAGAGGGGATTGGGAGGAGGAGGAGGAGGATGAGGATGAAGAGAGGGTGTGCGGTATATCAACCAAACATCGCGATCACGATCAAATGCGCCCGTCCCGCAAAAGGCATATCGGGACCAAGTAAACCCGACCCAATACGATTCACCAACCAACCAGGAGTCGAGATAGGTGATAACGAATCAACGAATAGACGCATGTGCGTGTGCAAATGAAATGAAATGATGACGAGAAACCCAATTGAAAAAAGGAGAGATATAAAGATCAACGAAGAAGCAGAGCAGATAAAAGAAGAGATGAAAAGGGGAATCGACAGACAGAAAGACAGACAGAACGGACGAACGGACGTACAGGGAGAAACCGATCCTGTTCACGATATTCCCCTACTTCCTGGTCGGTGATTGGTGCGGGTTCAGGTGGGTCTTGTTGAGCCGGTGTTGCTATTGACCCATTCCCATCTTGTGCTGGGATAATAGGATGAAGTTCCGAAGCCATGATAACGATATGATAGGGCTTGCTTATAGAGTTGTGGTTTCGAGGGTTTTTGCGCGACCGAACGAACGAAGGACGGTAAACGGCCTGGTTGTTGTTGGGTTTGGAAGGTCGCGGTGGTTTTAGAAGAGGGTTTGGGAAGTGGAGTAGTAGGGTCCTAAGGTAGTAAAGTGGTTTTTGACGTTTTGGTTGACTGAAATAGTGGGGTTTATGCGAACGAACGAACGGATGGAAGTGGTGCACGGTCCAACTGTGTTTTGAGGCTTAAGCGCTTAAGCGCCGCGGTGGGTGTCAGTGCCGGTGGGGCTTGGTACGAGACAATAGAGCCTGGAATGGGCTAGATTCAAGGTATGGTGACCTCTGAGAGTGAGTTTGAAGGGTGTGAGACGCTGAGATTGAGGGTGGTGGTGGTGGGTTGTGGTTGTAAAAAACTGGTGTGTGGGAGAGTCACAAAAAGGCGGTGGTGAGCTCATCTTTGTGTGTGGCGCACGTATGCTTTGTGAGTGTGAGTTGAACCTGACTAGGACTTTTGAACTTTGCTTTGTGTTGCAAATCTCGTTTGGAGAAAATGACGCGGACGAGGCGGCTGATTCACGTCATTATTCGGAGAAGAGGACTCGTGAAGATGGGTTGGTTGATTGTGATTGGTGGAGGTGATCGTCCAATGGTAGGTGTGCTTTTGTGCTGGGTGGGGCCGACGGCGCCGTTGTTCGATCGCCCTGCGCAAAGTTTTCGGATATGAGCTTTTGTTTTCTTGTGGAGTCGTCTGGAGTTGTACTCCCACTGCGCCTTTTTTGCGGTCGCGTCCCCTTGGCTTATGATCAATCTCCCGTAGTCGTCATCGTATCGTATCCCTCACGCCCTATAATCGTACCAAGTCATTCCACAATATTACAGTGGGACTATCGGAATACCAAACCAGTACTCAAAGCTTCTTACAATAACGATCCCTCTTCATGTCACTGTCAAGACAATTGCAAATCACAAAAAAAAACGTCAGAGAAAAAAACAAAAACAAAAGCAGAAAGATGAGGTATCAAGCAAGCTAAGCTCGTGCACGCGTAAGTGAGTATTACATCGTCTCGTTCGGAATCATATCATATCGTATCGTATCATCGTATCGCCCTATCCGTTTCATTTCAAAGCGTCGCCGTATCGTCAAGCCACCCCCACCTCCGCATAGATCGATCACCCCCACACCCCCTCCACCCGTCCACCCACCCCACCCCCACGCGGAACCTACACCCACCACCCGCCTACACAGGAACCCAAGACCTAACACCCCACCCAACCAACTCAAACATAACCGGTACACCCTCACAAGCCAAAAACCCAATTCCAACATACACAAAAACCTTTGTCAGGACTAAAGGTTCAAGAGTTCAACCAAAAAAAAAACGCGTTCAACAAACAAAACAAAGAAAGAAAGAAAAAACGCGTCAGCAATCTGCATAACCCGGAACGCAATGGGCCCACTTACCATCAGCATCATAATGCTTCACCGCATCCAATTCTTGTCCCCCTTCATCGTTTCCTTTTTCCGAGTAATAATACCCATTCGTCGAACCGTTCGTCATCCCGCTCAACGAACCACCACCACCACCCCCGTTAACGCCCAACGTCTTCCCATTTCGATATACCCCGTTCCCATTCCCACCTACACCACGCACCCTCAACTCCCTCCCACCGGCATACCTCCCCTCAACCCCACCAGCATACCTCCTCCCCTCAACCCCAACCCCACTCCCACTCCCAATTCCCCCTACCTCAACACCAACACCACCCGAAGACGGTAAATCAATAACACTAGGAATAGGTCTCAACCCATGTCCACCAACCCCTCCACCAAACTCACTTGGCACGGATTTATAATCCGTAGCCGGTGTATAAAACCTCCTACTCGGGAGTGATACTCCCCTAGCGAGTAATCGGTATGTTGGTGGTAAGATTAAGTGTAAGAGTGATTTTGCGAGTATACGCCATGTGAATATGATTAGAACGCCTATAACACAAACGAATCAGCAAGGTATGTAGACATAACAAAAGGAATAAAGCATACCAACAACCATTTTCATCACTGCAAACCCCCACCATACCCCCACATCTCCTAACGTCCTCTCAACCATCACCCACCCCTCTCCCCCATGTAACTTAACCCAACCACTCCCAGGCATAACCACCGTCCTCCCCATCCCAACTCCCCATCCAAAATAAGTCGTAACCCACTTCCCCACTTGTGATCCAAGTATAACACTCATAAACGCAATCGCATCTTCAAAACATGGACAATCATCTACTGGTTGAGGATGTTGGTTTACCGCTAACAAACATAACGGGATTAGGATTAAGGGGACTTCCCATCCACCCTTGTGGATCCAGGTTTCTAATAAGGATCCGAGACCGAGACCTCTTCCGATTTGGATTGTGAGGGTTGTTGGGGTGATGAGTGTTCCTAGCCCGATGAAGGGGATGATATGGAAGAGGGGGTTGGATGGGGAGAGGGTGATTGGAATACCAGGAAAGTTGGTATGACCCCACCAAATGCCTGTTCCGAGTAAAACTCCGACGATACAATCGGTGAATGAGTGCATGGCTGTGTAGAGACGACCGAAGACGATGGAGAAGATGTACCATGCTAGGAGGATGACGGAAAGTGTGTATGTGTGTGGGGAGATTATGGGTTCGGTGGTGGTGGTGGGGAGGGAGAGGGAGTGGATGTGTGCGAAGAGGAGGAGAGCGATTGAGACGCTGTTGGTTGAGTGGGTTGAGGGAAAACCGTATTCGAGGTGGTGTGTTCCGATGGCTGGGGGAGTTCATAGTGGGGTTAGTGATGATGATGATGTGGGTATGGAGAGGTAGGAAGACGTACTTAGTCGGGTGACGGGTGGTGCGAATGGACGTGGAGAACATATGAGATCTTTGATGAAAGAAGAAAAGTAGACGCCCAATGCGAGGAGGATGATTAACCTATGGAGGTGTTTAGCAAACGAATTTAGGGCTAGGAGGAGGATTGGAGGAGGAGGAGGAGAACGAAAACGAAACGGACGTACCCTCGACCCATTTCTTCGAAACCGAAGAAGAAAACCCCGGGAAGGGCGGTCATGAAGAATGTATGTGTTCCCAAGGAGGATGTATACACGAAATAAGCGTCTAACCATGGTGTACGGATGTAATCCTGAATAATGTGTGCGTTAGCTCTCTGAGACACGTTCAACCCCTACACACGAGGCATGCGCATGCGTCTAGCGCAAAAAAAAACAGTACGACGAACCTGCATACGTGCAATTACCCTCGACTCCCAAGCAACACTTTTCACTAGCCGACGACGTATTTCAGCTCTCCACCAAGGTAAAGTGGTGCTATAGACATCGGGAGACCCGAGACCTGGTGATGAACTTCGAGAGAGTGAGGGTGATGGTGTGGTGGATATTGATAAGGTTGATGTTGTGGTGAACCGCGTCTTTCGTGGGGGATCATAGTTTGAGTCGACGGTTTTGGATGATCTTGCCATGGTGTTGACCGAGCGAGCGAGCGAGACGGAGTTTGGGTTTTAAGAAATGGTTGGAGTTTGGGTTTGTCCCCGAAAAAGGGTGTGATGTTTTTTTGGGACGACTAGCAAGAGAACTGGGATTTGATGGAGCCGGGCGCTTCCTGAGGGTTTGGAAGACGAGAAGGGACGGGAGGAGGGGAGGAGGAGGGAGAGGGAGTGGGGTAAGTTTGCAAGGGTAAGTGTACTGCGAGTGTATAAGAATAGGTCGCGTGGTGCTGCTGATTCAAATTGTTCAAATTGAAAGTCATGTCATCGCGCTTACCGAGAATTCACGTAAGGGAAACCTAAAAGTCCGGTCAATCCGGATAAATGCCGACTGTTGACGTCCACGTCTAGAAGGCCGCCACTTGCAATCGATATCAGAACGTACGTCGTGCACGGCATGTCGCGGCTACCGTTCGACGATATCCTCCCCATCGTCGCGAGCTTCCTCCAGCGCAATCAGGTAGATCTCTTAGTCGTTCGTCAATGGAAAGACACATTCCAGCCTCAACGATGAAGTAGCTTTGAACAAATTTCTCTACGTCATCCAGAACCAACCTTCGTTCGCATCTCTCGTTAGATCACCAGAATTGCATTAATATAATATAATCCCTTCATGCAGTCCCTTGTCCAATGCGACATCCACGATCCATCAAACACTCCTCGATGACCCATCCCGCATCCCAAATCAATATCTATTTCACCTCGACCGACGTCCAATACCAAACTACCAAACTACCAACACATCAAACTACTAGTAAAACACCAAAACACCAAAAGACAAAGAAACAAGCGCTGGCCCCCACGCGACGCGAAAACAAAATAAAAATAAAAATAAAAGTGTCTTGTTATTAATACAGGCATATGGAACGGCTCAGATTCGAACTGAGATCGTAAGACAAGTGTTACTAGTTGTAGTGCATTTACCGTTATGCTACCGTCCCCTTGTCGAAGTTGAAGTGAGACTTGGGCTTGACTCGGTATTTGGGATTGATTGGGACAATTTCCCGAATGAGCTTGACTAGCCCTTCACAGTTCACACTGTGACCTTGACCACACGACACGGCGGGCTGTGATGGACAAAAGGTACCTGCGCAACCTCGGCTCGTATCTCAAGTGTGGACACCATCATCAGGTTCACTGGTCTTCGACTCGGAGGATAACTGAACAAAACTAAAGGTGAGAGAAGATCACCTCGCGCCTCGCGGCATTCAAAAGTCTCCGAGTCGATGAGGCTGAGAGGGAGAAAAAGGACTACGATGCAGGGTACTAAGAGGGAACGGCTCAGACTCGAACTGAGATCGAAGACAAGGTTTGTTTGCGCATTTCCCATTATGCTACCGTCCTCCATAGTACTTATCATTCCACTAGTTCTTAATCTGACGTGGCGCGCTTCCACCACACTCCTTGGATCCGCAGAGTTCCTACCTTGATTAACCTTCAGCTTCTTTTCTCCTCTCTGCGCTATCTGATAAACTTTATTTCCCGCTTCGTTTTGAGAGTGTCAAGGGAGATAATAAGGTTGACGCGTTGACGAGCTTGAGTAGCCACATCTGACAGCGCCGAATAGCAACTCAAAGCTCTCGAAAATCTTGTTGAGCCTGAGAGGGGAAAAAACTACGGAGTGAAGTTCGGAGATGGATGGAACGGCTCAGATTCGAATTGAGATTGAAGACAAGGTCGGTTTGTGCATTTGCCATTATGCTACCGTCCCCATATTACTATCGACCATTCCGCTTTTACATCACATCCCGTCCACGTTGTTCTTACTGCTATCACTCCTCTAGATCTATGTTCACACTATCACTTCGATTGATTCTGAACCAGCAAGATCTCCTCGCGCGATTCGAACTCGGACTCGGACTTGCTTCATTGGAATCTACTGGACTTACTGTACCATGACCTTCGTCATGGTCTGGGATACTCTCTTCATCTCTCACTGACAATTACCAGTACATTGCATCACAGAATCGTCATGACCTGGGTGGACGGGCACCAGCATCAGTGTCCTGCAGGCGCCAGCAAATCCCACGTCGTCCAACGAAAACAAAAGCTTTGCCCTTACTACTCACTCCAACGCCATAACCATGCTGCATATTGTACGTATGTTTCATCAACACCGCCGATCGATATATGCGCACTATATAAGACTATATATAACAACTTATCCTTGCAGGTTCGAATCCGATTGGGCTCTGCCTTGACGTCGGCCTGTCCGTCTTTTTATAAACTATAATCGTAAGCCGTAATATGGCATGGCAACCGAGGTGTCACTGACCATGAGCGAGCCCGGCCTTCAAATTTCGTTTAGGTTGACTTCCACCTCCACATGGATTTGCCACTTGTGCCCAACGCGTTTACTGGAGAGAATCTATCCCTAATTCGATCGCGGGGTGGTTTCAAGCCCGACGGGTGTACTGTAGCGTTAGTCGTAAGTTTTCCACCTTCCCATTGACACTTAGATTATCCACGGTCTGTCCTTGAGCTCGAACTTTTGAGTGCGTATCGACTCAAGCGGCCAAGCCTCAGAGGAGCACCTCCCGACTCGATCTCCAACGCAATACAGCGTAAGGAAATATCAACAACAAAAACGACTCTCCGATGGCAAAAGGGAAATCGATATCGAAGGGAACGGCTTAGATTTGAACGAGTTGCGCATTTGCCATTGGGCTACCGTCCTGGTGTCTCCTCGAATATGACCGATCCAGACCTCGCATTTTGCTCGTTATTGCACACCACATGACATGGTGGCTAACGAAGGAGCCCAAACACTCAGGAGGACTTCATGTTGTCGTATATACTGACCCGTGGAACTCACCGCTGCCTTGGCTCGTAATTAGTAGTATTTGGGGGAATTATCTACCGTTCGCTACTTCCACCTGGTGGCTTACAGTTGAGCACAGTCCGACGCCAAAATATAAAAGTCTCCCAACGGGAAAATAAAAAACCGTGAGACCAACGAATGGAACGGCTCAGATTCGAACTGAGATCATAGGACAAGTAATGTGGTGCATTTGCCGTTATGCTACCGTCCCCACTTGTAGTGAAAGTGAGACCTTAACTCAATCGAAGGGATCGATCGGGACAATTTCCCAAACGAGTCTGAATCGTCTTTGCAGACGATGGGTCGCGAAACGGAAGGAGTCCAAGCACCCGGTAGAAGTTCTTGCGACGGTCGAGCTCACCCGCCTCGGCTCGTAGCTCAGGGGAAGGGAGTGTAGGCGGTCGACGTCATTATTTGCATGGTTCACTCACTTGGATCCGGAGGGGAAGAGAGGTTTAAATGAGGACACGATGAGTTGTATCTGAGTGGCGTGTCCCCGAAGACATAATCATTAACCGTTCTCGCTGGCGATTGTCGTAGAGGATAGCTGTAAACGAGACTATGAAGGTGGAAGAGAATCACCTCACGAAATTGTCGCGTAATATCATGATGGCCCCACTATCTTATCTTATCAAGATACTCACAAGCCGGCTTGAAGACCTCTTGTGAAAACCAACTCAAAGACTCGATTTGCATTGCAAAAACATTGAAAATACTGATACTGAGCGCGAAAATTTTACTCCATAAAGTTCGAATGGAACGGCTCAGATTCGAACTGAGATCGAAGACAAGAGTTTGTTTGCGCATTTGCCGTTATGCTACCGTCCCCATAGCCAATTCGTCATTGGGCATATAGTACAGTATGTACAGTGTGTGCGGCAGGATAATTTGCCGGCACTGCGTGTACACTCAACTGATTCGTTTGGCAGTCTCTTGTTCACTTCTCAAGCACGTCATTCACCCAAAAATATCGTCAAATCAGAAGGATAAGCTACGACAAAAGTCGGAGTCAACTACTATCATACAGACCACTATCTCATCGTCCACCAAACGTGATTTGGTGGGCGATGCGACAGAGGAAAAAAAATCTTGATCGAGTCTAGACTTGACTGTTCCATCGCCCGCCAAGGTAATCTGGTGGGCTATGAGACAGCGACGAAAAGCTCGAGCCTCTCCGCGAAAGCCGGTGCAAGAGCCTGAATCGCCAGAGACGAATATGATCTGCGTCTTGCCAAACACCTCCTCGAATCAACTGCCTCGTTGCTCACCACACACGATCTGGTGGGCAATGAGGCAGTAGGGAGAGGCAGGTAGGCATGTTGTCCGACTTTGGGTTGGTATTCAATCGCTGCGAGCCTGCAGCATCACCTGGAAATTAAATCCTTCATCAAGCCCAGGTCAGGCGGTTGAGCTACTGTACCTTACTCGTGATCTACCCCGCAATCCGCCTTACGGAGATAATATGAATGCTCAAACCCACTGTCGCATTGCTCACCACACCCGATATGGTGGGCGTCAACGGGAAGATGAGGATGGTTGTAAAGTAGGAGCTGGTGGTAGGAGAATGAGTTATCACATCCACGATCTCAGGGCGTTTTGTAGCAATTCCGATTCCCGTGTGACGATCAGATAAACGCCCGAGCGCCAATCGCCAAAATAGCAATGAAGGCCTGTTTTCAGACTTTATTTCTCCTGCTCTCATACCAGAATTACCACAGTGATCAGGACTTGATAGCGGCCCGGTCGTTGTTTCCTGGGCTGTAGTTCGGGCGTTCGACGTCGAACGTTCAATGACCCAATGTCAGTGAGCTTGATGAATCGATGACCCTCTGCGGGGGGGTCCAGAGTTCGATGTAGTTTAATATCGATCAACTATCTGCGCACACCTCGGCCTCCCTTCAGGTCCATCTCCAGCGGATATTTCCGGTGGTGGGTTCAGACTCCGCCAGGTGCCGCTGGACTTGCCGCGAGCCTAATCACAACCCCCGAACTCTTCTCTTGGCCCGGCGAACTCTGCAATTTTTTTTAGAAAACAAGGGGACTCGTAACGGCAACCCAACTCTCCGTCTTTCATCACAACGGCAGTTATGTATGACAAACTAGGCGACACTATGCAGAAACTGGTTAGGTATGTAACTTATCTCGTTCGGACATCTCGCATTTTCCAAGCGGGCTGACAACGCTACTTTTCTGCCCCAAAATAACCCAGCGGAAAGGAGTGGGTTTTACAAGGGCGGTGATTATTACGGCAGCAATTGAGAACCCTCACCCACGAGATATCAAGCCTCATGCTATTCCTGTTTGACATGCGAATTTTCTCCAGAAGGAGGTTTTTTTAGCAGATGGGGGAATCAAAAATAGGAACAAGGGACCGGAGAAGGAATAGGTATCCGATTCAGTGCAAAAACGTCGATGCCTTTCAATGTCGTTGTTAAAAGACAGGAAGTACAAAGCAATGGCGAGTCGCCAATCACACTTCTCTTGTCTCTCAAGACGCTGATGACGATGATTGCAACAGGCCGAAACTTATCGTCGATGAGCTCCCTTCGCCGAAGACGTTTCAGAAAATTCCTGGCATTGGTAAGATTTTCTCCACCAAGGGCGCTCCTTGATCTCCATCTTCTAACCCTTTGCAGGGGACCCTTCGGCCATTCAAATATTCATGTTCCATGCCAAAGTCAACCCCCCACGAGCCCCCAAGCTCTTTCGTGACATTTTTTTGCCTGGGTGACAAGGGTTACTAGATGTCGTTTGATGCCAGGAACAGTTGATACGCTTACACCCCGTCGACGTGCAATCGCCTTCAATCCTCCCTCCCCGCGGCGTCGTTTGCATGAACGACGGATGGTCACTTGGGGGCCTCACGATTGTCCAACCTATCAACAACTGTATCATCGACGTATCTTCATTGACGGTTTTCAGCCTCGGTCGATGAACCCTTTATCAAACCGGTTAAGAAATTCATCTAACAAAATCCCCTCATCGACCCTTAATCCACGCAACAGTTGATGATCGCCAGGGTCTCCCTGGCCAGCGGAGCGTTCATCCGTTCTAGATCGGTTGGCATTCGGCATAATGACAGCATTTAAATAGACGCCAGGTCGAACATTTAAACACCCACCTGATTCCTTCGTTTGTTTTTTCTACAGCTTGCGATTCAACCAGCATGCGTCTCCCTACACTCATTTCCTCCGTTTTGGGCACCGCCTACTTGGTTGCCGCTCTACCTGCAGCCAACATCGAAGCTCGCGGCACATGTGGATCCTTCGCGCCTGCTGGGTTCTGTCCTGCCTCCCCAACTTCCACCGGTCCATCCTCTGGCCCGTCTTCAACCCCTGGCTCTTGCACCAATCCTACAATCCGCAAGGAATGGCGTACCTTCAGCGTAGACGAGAAGAAGGCTTTCTTGAGCGCGGTCAAGGTTGGTATATTCCGTTCCTCCGTTGTGTCAAGTGCTCATCGTATGCGACATTTCATTATAGTGTCTCGGTAGCAAGCCCCATAACTGGGACCTTGTCCAGAGCAACACTGGGCCTGATATTCCAAACATGATGACGGATCCTTCAATCTCGATGTACGACGGTAAGCCTCTCTTGAAAGTTCCTTTGGGCGCGTCGTCGCTAAACCGTCCTTTTTTAAAGATATGGTCTTCACCCACATCGACCTTAACCACCACATCCACTCCACGGGTTGGTTCTTCCCGTGGCACCGCTGGTATCTGAACGTCTACGCGAGGCTCTTGACCACCCAATGTGGCTATACGGGCGCGCTTCCCTACTGGGACTGGACTCAGGGTATGATATATGTCCTCGTCATGAGCTTCTTCTAACAGAACCTTTCAGACGCCGCGGACTTCGAGCATGCTACCTTCTGGGACGCAGACCCAAATTCTGGTGTCGGCACATGGGGAAATCCTAACAACGACTACCAGATCGAAGATGGCGCTTGGGGTCTCAATAGCGGCTTCAAGCTTCACTACCCCTCCACCCATGCTATCCGTCGTCAATTTACCCCACAACCTTACCTTCAGTTCCCTCGTCCCTACCTCCTTGCGGACGTCAACCTTCTTGCGAATGAGACCTTCACTAAGGACAGGCTTGACGCATCTTTATTCGGCTTCGACGGTGATTTCCAAGGCTTCCAGAAGAGTTTCCAGGATTACCAAGGTCCCCATGCTGGTGTCCATCTGATGGTCGGAGCGTACGTCCATTCCACCTTCTTACTTTCGGCGACGACGGCTGACGGTGCTTTGATAGTGACTTGACTGGGTTGTGCCCCGGTAATGCGCCAGCGAGTTGCGTACCTGGTGAGAGTTGGAGTCCTAACGACCCACTCTTCTTCATGCATCACGCGGTATGTATCTTGTTGTGTCTCCATTTGCTCGTTGTATTCATTACCGTCTTCAGATGGTTGACAAGACCTGGTATGACTGGCAAAACCGCGCGTCCAACAAATACTTGTTCCAAGGTGGTTCGACCCAGATGCTCGATAGTTTGGCTAGCTATGACGCGTATCCTCTTGGTTCTGCACCATGGTTGAGCGTAAGTCCTTTCTTGATATCGTTCTTAGGACTATCACTGACGTCCGGTCCAGTCCACCTCTATCCTCCCTACTGGCGGTTGGGCGCGTTTCGATACCAAGTCCTCCGTCGCCATCCAGGACCTTTTCGACACCCAGAACGGCTATTTGTGCTACACTTACCAATAAGCACGTTCGCAGCTTCATTCGCTCACGCCTTAGAAACTTGACTCTCAGACGTAAAACTGATGCCCACTACGTCCATCTACGAGATTCTTATCAAATATTTTTTACTTATTGGAGTATAATAATCGCCTTACCTACGTTTCTAGGTAGTATATCCTTCGTTATTATTTAAATTCGTCGGGGACATCACCCGGAAATAGCTACGACTTCAGTTCTGGATGCAAATAAAAGAATGGACTTTTTCTCGTAACCTTTGGTTGTGAATGTTACTGTATCGTGTTCGCGTCTTCGGGCGTGCTGAATAATACTGTTGGAACTCATACATATTCGCCTTTCAGCCGTTTCGTTCATTGATGTCGACGTCAACGCCCGCGGTACCGACCGAGCTCATCCTGGAAATCCTCCTATGGGTCGACATCGACTTTATCGGCGTTGATCGCAGTACAGCCCTCTTCTCGTGTTGCCTCGTTTCCCGGTCATGGTTGGCCGCAGCTCAACCACTCTTATTTTCCCGTATCACCGTCAAGATCGGCACTGCTGGAAAGCAAAAGCTCGCAACCAGGATCCTTAGTTACCCCGACAAACTAAGGGCATACATCCTCCAGCTCCGGCTCGATGTCAGAGCGTATGGGTCCGGTGATCCCGTTCAGGACGTCGCTGCCTTAGCGAACACATCAGGAGATTGGCAGTTTAGAGGATTGCGACTTGAAAATAGTTTTCATCTGCTCGTCTCGCAGACATTTCAAACCTTACCATCCTCTGATCGGTTGACGTCTTTGTCTCTCCGTCGTTTAACGGTGTCATCCGATGTGCTGCTCTCACTCCCCCCAGCCCTCAGGGAGATCCAGCTCGACGACGTTCACGTTGACGATCTGCAGTTGCTGATATCTGATACGAGATCTGATAGTTCCACAAACCCGGAACAATCGACACCCTCCCCCCGTCCAAGTATACAAAAACTCAGCCTCACGAACGGTGGTGGACTCGTCACTTGGTTTTACCAACCCCACTGTCATTTGGACTTTTCACACCTCGAAACGCTGTTACTTTGTGAAGAGACATTTGTATGGGAATATTTTGAAGATGTTGGGCTCTTTTTGGCTATCGTGGGTCCTACGATCAAG